TCTCCACCACAAGCAGGCTCCCGCCCTCCCCCCTCTCCACCACAAGCAGGCTCCGTGCCTTAAACGGAGCTTCAGCTTTTACAAACAGGCTGTCAGACAGACGTTTGCGGTACAAGGCGTTTGCCTAGGGCCGCCCCCCAGGAAAGTGCCGCCCTAGGCAAACGCCTTGTTTGCCTCGTGGTAAATACGGCCCTGGCTGGGACTTGTAATCCCGCATAGCTGCTGGTATTCTGCATTGCTGTATGGTGATTATATAGCAATGCAGAATAGCTCCAACTATGTAGGATTACAAGTCCCAGCAATGCATTATATTTTTAAGTAGGGATACACCACTGCCAATACTGGGAATCTTCGCAAGTACTCATACTCGTGAAAATGCCCCGATACTAAACGCAGATACCGGTGTTCTGTTGAGAACGCCGACGTAGTCGAATTTGCTGACCTCAGCATCTACGCTTGCACACAGACCAATATTATTGAGGAATCCGGGATTTATTCACAAAGTATTTAGTTTAAATTGTTAATTGTGACTGTTAATATTCCGTCCATCATTTCCTGCCATCCGTCATTTCCTGCCATCCGTCATTTCCTGCCATCCGTCATTTCCCGCCATGGACGGCATATTATTAACGGTCACAATTAACCATTACAAATGAATACTTTGTAAATAAATGCCGGTTCCCTCGTTAATCCCGTCTGTATGTAAGCGCAGATGCTGGGTCAGCGTTCTCGACAGAACACCGGCACTAAAATTTAAAACAAGCAACTGCCCGAGGTCCCGCGCTTGCTGGGGACCTCCGCAGCCTTCCTGTTAACCATACGGTGCCATGTCGGAGGGGGGTTGGTTGGGGGGGGGCCCTTCATGGTTTTTTGCACCGGGGCCCTGAAGGTTCTAGTTACACCTCTGATAAGAGGGTCAGCTTCTGTGGCAAAATTTCAGATAAGATAACAATTTCGGCTTCTATGGAGAGATCTCAGATAAGATAACTAAGGGAGCTTCTATAGAAGTATGTCAGCTATTATTAGAAGGTCCCCCTGGTACAACTATACAGCACATATTCCAACACAGTTCTGGGGTTCACTCACCGACACAAGAGAGTCCCAGTTCCCGAAATCCAGCCTGGCAGCTGCATCGGTAGCTGCCCTCGATGTTCACACACAGGTTGCCCAACTCCCGGCGGCATTTCTCCTCAAATGTGCACTCATCAACATCTATGCAGAACACAACACAACACATGTAATCAGTAGGTTCCCGTTACCCTAAGGAGTACTATGGGGAAAAGCCCTGACCCCATAGTTCTCCTTTAAGAATGAGTATCTCACATACTGTATAATGAACCAGCCAATCACAATGAAAGATAACAGCCGACAGCTGTGGCAGCCAACAATCCACAAACATGCCGAGACTTTTCCCAATCTTAGGGCTTGTTCACTTTACCACAGACTACTGCGCAATAAGACTAGAGGCCGCAACCTAAAGTTGGTGGAGAAAAAATTCCAGCACAATGGGCGAAGAGGGTTCTTTACAGTAAGAGCGGTTAAGGTCTGGAACTCACTGCCATCGGCAGTGATTTCAGCTAAGAGTGTAGATTTGTTCAAGAAACGTTTGGACAATTTCTTGAGGGACCGTAATATCCAGGGATACCAGTATCCCTAAGAATGAGATGATGCGTGGACCTATATGGGTTGGACTTGATGGACGTATGTCTTTATTCAACCCCAAATACTATGTAACTATGCAATATTCTATGAGTCTAATACATAGAGGCCTCAATCATACAGTCACCGCTTCCTCCTGGTACTCACCGACACATCTTTTCCCACCCAGAGAGAAGACAAAGCCGCCATGGCAGGAGCAGGTGAAGGAGCCGAGGGTGTTGTGGCAGGTGGAGTGGGGGGGACAGGCTTGCAGCCCCGTCACCTCTGCCAGTTGGCACTCATCCACATCTGATGGAAGAAGAGGACAATGACGCACCGATATCAACATCACGACACAGAGTGTGTATTAGATCCAAGGCTGCTATCCAACTATCACCCCCCAAGGCTGCTGTCATTGATGTCAGACACAGCACAGTTACATGCACGTAATATAATATAAATAACATTGTCCTCTCGAAGAAGAGTCAAGATATACTGGGGGTGGCCAGTGCGAAACTCCTGAAAATGCTAATTGCCCTTTCTGTCTCCGACCTCGATACTCCTGGAGTGAGTTCGAGTGAAGTGGTCTGCTATGGGATCAGCATAACTTCCCAAGCTAATATAAAACACATATACACAGTATATATACACTATATTGCCAAAAGTATTGGGCCCCTCCCCCTCCAAATCATTGGATTCAGGTGTTCCAATCATCTCCATGGCCACAGGCAGAGCCGATGGATGAGGCACCTCGGCATGCAGATGCTTCTGCAGACATTTGTGAAAGAATGGGTCGCTCTCAGGAGCTCGGGGAATTCAAGCGTGGTACCGTGATAGGCATTCGGGAGCTCCCAAATGCATTTCGGATCCCGTATGCCCTTTGGGTCTGGGAGATTCGGCTTTAGTACGAGTATCTGTAGATGTTTTTTTGTGTTATTCGCAATGAACATTCATAATGTCGTCCGAGACTAACGAAAATTCAGATTTCGTCCGAATCCGAAACCCGAACCAAATTGAATTTCGGATCCGAATCTCGAAATATCCGAACCAAACCGAATTTTTTCACACCTTGCATATCTATTTACTTCCTGCTTCCTGTAACAGGCGAAGCTGTTCAGTTAAAGCAGCAGTGTACAGACTAGTGATTTCTTTTGTACAAAACAAGCGTCGGCTTCCCCGCTGTTCATTTAGCTCTGCTTGCCCAAAGCCGGGCTAAATGTAGAAAAGAGCTACCCACCCGGCTCCCAGAACTGCATGTCTCGGGCGTCGGGAGATAGGAATTCCACACCCCTGCTGCCCCTCTAGTCCCTGCTTGGCCTTGTGGGAAATCAGGCCCTGGCCGGGGGTGCTCACCACGCTTTTTTTTTTTTTTAAATGATAGCGGAAGTTAAGTCAGCATTGCAGCTTGTACTGATTTACAAGCCTTTAACACAAGCTGCTTGCTGCCGTTATCCCCATTGTCCAAACCCTTCCAATCGTGTGATATTGATTTTTTTTATTTCCTGGTGAAGGCAATGGGGCATGTGTTATCCATCGCACATGCCAAGATAGGAGGATGCGTATGCCAGGAACTACATCATGGGGGTTGGGAAATCACTTAAAGAGCCACCTCCTTTTTAATGCACGACTGCATATGCGCAGGGCCCGGATTTACTCTCCCTGCCGCCCCAAGGCCAGGCTCAGCAATACGCCCCCCCTGACAACCCCCCCGCCCATCAATGGAGAATGGCAACCACCCAGATAGCAAGCAATTGAGCTGCAAGTTTGAAAATGACTTGCTAAACTATTGCAGACGTGCCGAGCTTCACAATTTTGTTGCACAATTACAGCGAGTCTGCATTGCAAGTCTCCGGACCAGCGAGCTTGCAGAGCTCTTGCTAAGACCTGCAGGACTCTTGCTGTAGACTTGCCGAGCAAATTTCCTACAAATTCTAAAAGTGTCTCCTAGAACTTGTGCTGCGAGTGTTCTGCAAGTCTACAACTTGCCAGGAATGTGTGCAGCAAGTTTACAATTTAACCCTGACACAAGTTTGTGGCAAGTTATCCTTCCTATCTGGGCAGATGGCAGGGCCAGTTTAGTGTCAATTTTTTTTTAGTGTTTCTTACATTTAGCTCGGCTTGTACAAAGCAGGACTGAATGTAGAGAGGGCAACTTCCCCACAAGGACACCGCTGCCGACCATCTGCGCCCTGCCGCCCCTCTGCCGGGCCTCGGTGGCCTTGTGGGGAATCCGGGCCTGCGTATGCGCAGGGTCCTGATGGCTTTGGTGCAGGGCGGAAGAAGGGATAGGCAGATAAAGAGCAAGAAGAAAAACACAATATGGTGCAAGCTTAGGGAAAAAGTGTGGGTAGGCTGCCCTATACCAGCAAAAACGATATGTGGGCTGAAATGCACATTTTTTAGCACTTAAGCAACTAAGAAAATGGGTTTCTATTTTCTTTTAATTATTATTTTCTGTGGTGAGCAGACTTTATTTCTACTTTAAAGTCCATGGGAAAAAAAAAAAACTACAACTGCTGTGTGATTTCACTGCATTATGAACAGTGTTGTCACCCTGTTACAGGAAGTGAAGGAAAAAAAATAACAGATCTACTAGAATCCACAGCTAATAAAACCATTTTTCAAGCAGCTGTAGCCCCCATCGCTGTGGTCAGCCAGGCTGAAATTATAGCGGCAGTTATCTGGTTAATTCCAGGTGCCTGTACCCCTCTGGGCGGAGTGTGACACTGTCATATTGTGGGACAGCCAATGAGAGGCACTGTAGTGTGTGTGCAGTACAGCAGCCAATTTCTCCCCTGCCGGGTCCAGCCTCCTCCACCGCCGCTGCTGGCTCTCATTGACTCAGTAGCGGCTGTGGAGAAGAACGCAGCGCTGCACAGATCACCGACAGTGGCACGTTCTAAGCCATAGCGACCAAGGCGGCCCGCACGGCATCAGGGGGGTGTCCTGGCCAGGCCCCCATGTGCCCGGGCCCCATAGCGGCCGCCTGGGTCGCTATGGCGATTGTTACGCCACTGTACATATACTGGAGGGATTTGCATGTGCTCAGACTAGCCCGGACCAGCCATGGAATAGGGCTGGGTGCTGTTTAGCCTGCCTCCCCCCCCCCAGGCTAGGACTGGGGGGGGGCACAGGCTGGAGTGAAGGAAACGGTTTCCCTGAGGCCTCCAACACGGAGGAGGTCATTGTTGCTGTTAGAGGAAGAGAACCAGGACCAGTGCTGGCTCTTGAAGTATCCTGGAACTAAGAGGACTTGAGGAGCATGGTCGGTGTCTTTCCTGTGTTCAGGATCTGTATCCATCCTTCCTGTCTGCTACATCAGTCGCCATCCGCTGCCTCCCTGGTGGATCTACACTGATATGCCAACCAGGTCTGGTGAGTCTGGAGCTTGTGTCTGTTACACCCTGGAACCTTAGAGCCCCCATATCCTCTCTCCATAGTGAAGATGTTCAATAAGACCCCGTTCACATTGAGCGATTTATCGCGCGGTAATTGCCGCGATATCGCGGCAAATTACCGCGCAATATCACGCTCCAATGCAATCCAATGGGGCAAAGGGTCCTGCTGTAGCGGGTCGTGTGTCGCTACAGCAGGACCCTTTTTTGAGCGGATTTAGCCGCGATTCAAGCTTGCTCAATGCAAGCTTGAACGCGACATCGCGCGGCAAGTCGGGCCTAAGTACCACTTCCCTTGTCCTGTAGGGCCTAAAAGTTATTCTGCATTGGGAGTGGGCATCAGTCTGTGGGCACCAGAAGAAGGGTGCTTAGTGCTAATGGGTGGGCAGCTGAAGATCATCCCCTAGACAGACTAGAGATGAACCGGGCATTCAGCGGCTCCTTCGGGGGTGAGCGCTACACAGCACTAACAATAAAACTGCACGAGTGACAGACTACCATATATGTCTCTTTTTTTGACCATAGTAAAACTTTAACAAAGATATAGCTGCAGGATAAGAAGTAGGAGTCTCAATAGATAAAAGAAAGACGAAAGAATTTAATATCTAAGTAATCCTCACCCTCACACCCCCGTGACCCTTTCAGAAAGCCCCGATGACAGCGGCAAATGTAGGAACCGGCAGTGTTGGTGCAGTTAGCATATAATCCACAAGGTGGCTCCACCGCTGCACATTCATCAACGTCTGTAAGAAATGCAGAAGGAGAAGTTTACAGGTAACAATAAACTTTAAAGTGACGCTGAACTCCGGAGTTAGAGCTTAAAAATCCATTCGAGTCCCTTCACTATGAACAACAATGTATCTTATTTGTGTATCACTCGGCTGTAGTTCCTCCAATCATCTCTGACACTGTCCTTCCTTCTGGAGCGTGGCTACTTTTATTCCCCATGGTCCCTGCGTGTGGTGTAAAGTAGTCACCGCTCCAAGTTCAATCCCGGGATGGACTACAATCTCAGATTTAGTTTAGTCATTTGTAGGGATACACCGATACTGATCGGTGCCAATACTGACTATTTGGGCAAGTACTCATAGTCGTCCTCTCACTGGCAGTGCCGGAGGCGAACATGGAGCTAGCTTCCCATGCAATCAAGAAGCTGGACAGCGAATAATGACCCGCCTCCCGGATTGGCCCGGGGGGGGGGGTTGGCAAAATGATGGCAGATAGCAAAGTAGCTATTGTTTCCCGTGCTATCTGCTGTTTTTTTTTGTATTCTGACCGCTGCTGCCGTCAGGTTTAAAAAAAAAAGCATAGGAATGCATAGCTGGATTGCTATTATTATTATTATACAGGATTTATATAGCGCCAACAGTTTGCGCAGCGCTGTACAATATAAGGAAGACAATACAATCAAAACACAATTCAAGACAAGCTATTGGCTATTTCAATTTGCAATAGCCAATAGCAGAGTGGCTAATGCACCCGCCCCCTGCTGCTGTCAATTGTTGTAAATTATGATTGAAGTAGATATATTGGGGGTATATTTAGGGTGTATGCTCATGTATTGCAGGAACGTTTTTTGGCTAATGTTACCGTGTTTCCCCCGAAAATAAGACACTGTCTTATTTATTTTTTTTGCACGAAATAAGACACTAGGTCTTTTTTTCGGGGGATGTCTTACCTGGCTGGGGGAGGACTGGACGAGGTCCCGGAAGGCGGCGTGCTGTTGCCGGTCCCGGCGGATGTCGCTTCCATCGTGCGTGCGTGCGGGCGTGAGCTGCGGCCGGCGGGCGTGTGGGCGGGAGCTGCGGCTGGCGTGTGGG